CAAAGCATATCCCCGGTCCAGCAACTTCAGTCATGTCTGAGAACTTGCTGGAAAGATGGCACCTTTGGGTTTTCTGAATCAGGGCTGTGCTGACCTTGTGCTTGCCAATGAGAGAAAGAGACTGAATCTGCGCCATGACTGGAAGCATAGGCTTCTCCCAGGCCTCGTTCCTCTCATCTGTAAAATGGGACTGTTGAAGCACGTGAGTGGTTCTCCGAGTTTAGCATGAATGTGAACCCCCTGGAAAGCTGGTTACGGAGCCTGCTGGTCCCATCGCACGGTTGACTAATGGGATGAACGGAAGCTCTGGAATTCCATTTCACTCCCTGAGAATGTTCTTTTGTTGTGGGGACAGGTATAAAAAAAATAGGGCTTTCTGGCTTGTGAATCAGAACACAGCTGATGCTGTCCTCAGTTCTGAGACCTGGCCCGAAGATGGCCCCTTCACTGCCTTGCTCCCAAGTCACGGGCAGGTCTGGTTCCCTGCTCCTAGGCCAGCGGCTTGACCGGTCCCAGTCTAAGAATTGTTTCTGAGCTCTCAGATCCTGACAGCAACTGAGTTTATGTTTGATCAGTGACCTTAGTGCAGGCAGTAGATGGGGAGAAGGGAGCTGAGCTCCGAGTTATGAGTAAAAGGGATATTTGAAGAGAAATTGCTAGAAGGGGGGTGGGGTGAGAGCTGGGCAGTGGTGGCACACATCTTTAATCTCAGCATTCAAGAGGCAGAGGCAGGTGATTCTCTGAGTTCAAGACCAGAACAGCCAGGACTACACAGTGAAACCCTGTTTCAAAAAACCAAAAGAGAAAAAAGAAAGAAAGAAAGAAAGGAAGGAAGGAAGGTGAGGTTTAGAGTGAGAGGAAGTTAGTTCCCTTGCAAACCAATGGAGCTCTGCTGTCTGAGCCTGAATCCACTCTCCTTGGCCTCCTCTCTACAGCTCTGCTCACCCTCTAGGAAGTGGGAAGAAGAGAAGAGCAAATGGCGCCCACAGCTTTCGAACAAACAAGAAACTCTCTCCAGAGAAAGTTCTCAGGTGCCAAATTCTGCTAAATTCGTCTATGAACCAGGCAACTAACAAAGACAACAACCCTTTGGTTCAGCCACTTCCGGGAGCTTAAGTTCTCTTAGGAACTCTGAGTTCGTGACACAGCTGCCCAAGGCCCTTCCTCAGCTCGCTACCTCCACTACCGCTGCAGAGCCCACAGCCCGTGTCCCAATGCTTTGTACATCGCCCCAGTCTGCCTTGGCATCCTCCACGTTTCTCTGAGACCTGTCCCATTAAAGTCACTTGAGAAGTTGTCAGTTCTGCCTGCAGAGGATTGGAGCTAGAGATATCGTACTGTAGTGTTAGCTCCTAAGTCAAGATTTGCAGGGGACTAAATCACAGCAAGTCCCCACGACCGGAAGACAAGTCCTTCTGGGACAAGTTGTGACCCACTAGGGTTTGGAGCAGGCCCCACAGTTTACAGACAAGAAAACTGCCAGGGGCGGGGGGCTGTAGCAAAGCGAATGGGTGTCCGCTGAGTACATATTACTTTCATGAGCACAAGGCAGTAGGAGAGTAAGTGAGCAGGTGAGTGGGAGAGCACCTGTTTCTGGTCCCAAGCCTTCTTTTTAAAAGATGTATTACTTTACTTGTTTTACCTGCTGTGTGTGTGTGTGTGTGTGTGTGTGTGTGTGTGTGTGTGTGAGAGAGAGAGAGAGAGAGAGAGAGAGAGAGAGAGAGAGAGAGAAGCGCGCCCACGCGTGCCATGAGCCCATGAAGGCCAGAAGAGGACAGGGGATTCAGTGGAATTAAAGTTACAGACAAGCCAGGTGGTGGTGGTGCACACCTTTAATCCCAGCACTCAGGAGGCAGAAGCAGGTGAATCTCTGTGAGTCTGAGACCAGCCTGGTCTACGGAGCGAGTTCCAGTACAGCCACGGCTACACAGAGAAACCCTGTCTCAAAAAACCAAAGCCACACCAAACAAAAAGCAGCTGCTCCTTCTGCTGTGGACTCCTTGGGGTTCTCTTGTATTTGTAATCTCATGATGTGTTCTTTTTGAGGTGTATCTGTATGTGCTACACTGGTACTGTATCCCCAAGTCACATCCCCAGTCCTCATATTTTTGAGACAAAGTCTCACTATATGGTTCAGGCTGGCTTTAAACTCACCATGTAATCCTCCCGCTTCTGCCGACTGAGTGCTAACATGAGCCACCATACCCACATTGAGTCTTATTTCTAACGCTGCCATTGCCTGGTTTTTCTTTCTTACAACGAGGATATTCCCTGAGTCCGTTCCAGAGCTTGGTACCACAGACATGTCTAACGATTTCTCTAAAACCCAACTAAGTCCAGGCTTTCTAAATGCCAGTCCCCTTGCCAAGCCTTGCTGCCTGCAAGAGACAGCCTATATGCTCGGTCAGCAGAGTCCAGACTCACCCACCCCCGGGGATGGGATTCCGACTTAAACAAGTTAGGTTTCTGCTAATGTGCTTTCCCTAGGGCTTCCCTGTGGAGAGCTGAAAGGCCTCCAGACACATTTTCACCTCATGTGTTTCCGAGTTAAAGAATTTAAATGTAAAGGCTTATTTTACTAACAAATGATTGTCAGTCACCACCCAGGAGCGAGGCAGTGCTCTAGATGCCAAGAATATGCCAGTGAAGAAAACAGGGACAGTGGTGTCCCTGCTCCTGTAGACATCCAAGCTAGACCAAGTAGATGGAAGCGCATCCGCCGATAACTTCAAAGAAGGAGAGCATTGGAGACATTGAGATGCAGAGAAATGGGGTGAAGTACCTTGAGGGGCCAAGGTAGACAGAAGTAAGCTGCATTTGATGAGAAAGACCCAGTTATGGGGATGTAAGGAAAGAATAGCCAAGGCAGAAGGAAATTGCTCAAAGGTCTCAGGGCAGGGTGGACTCTGTATGTCCAGAGGTAGACAAAGCCTGATGGCCTAAGTGCCGGAGCTGAAGGGGTCCAGACTATGGCAGCAGCATCGTAGGTCTTTGCATCTGTTTTATGGTCAAGGGAAGCTGGTAGGTGAGACCTTAAGAAGAGGGGACCACCAGGTTCACAGGCGCTATCTGCTATAGTGGCTGCTTAGGTTGCTTTTAGGAAGCCATTGGACGTAAATAGGCATGAGCAGTGCTAGCTACAGGGTGAGCCCTCCCACGCTAAGTATGAGCCAATAGGCACAGAAGGACCCCTATGGCACCTTCTGCTCCTGCTGACCTAGTCCTGTACCTGTGCTGTGCTCTGCCTTCCTGCCTCCCAGGAAGGAGAAGTAAACAAACTCCTAAAGGGCCAGAGAGTAAACATTTTAGACTTTGCTCAGTCTGCTGTGGTAGCAGGAAAGCAGTCACAAACCTACAAAAATGGGTAACGTGGATGTTCTCCGAAAGAGACAGTTTATAACTCCAGGTGGCCTTCAGAATTGGCCCATGAGCCATAACCTCTTGCTGGTCTAAACAAGGTTTGTTATAACAATGCCATTATAATGGGACTTAAGAGATGAAACAAGGGGCATGATGACATATTGGCTGAAAACATGGAAAAAATAGAACCAGAGGGACTCTCAGAGCATGGGCCTTGAAGACAGAGCCTCAGGAGAGTTAAGCTATTAAATATGTGTGATGCTATTTGGTTGACAGCAGAGTTTGGTCTAGACACCCAATTCTAGAAATGTAGCATGGGAGAAATTGGGAGAGAGAGGAAAAGGTTGTGTGTGAGCTGAGGTATTATATCCTGCTCAGGTCACTGATGGAGTTGAAGATGAGATAGTTCCAGTCCCAGTTTTTCTGAGCTATGACAGAAGGTAAATCAGATACAGAACTTTGGGCCCACCAAGATAGGAGAGATAATAGAGTAATTTCTCTGAACTTGTTAAAATATAAACAGACTGGATATTGTACACTGTGTGAAGATGTATTTCTTTGGAGAAAGCTGCATGGGCTATTTCATTTTCAACTCCATCAGAGACTTGGGAAGGATATAAGATTACCTGAGTAAACAGGAAGTGCAGAACAAACAACTTCCAAAGCTATAGAAATAAGAGAGACAGCTAGAAGCTTGGATAGTCACAAAAGTTTCCCCTGCAATGTTGAGGCATCCATCTTCAGCCTACCAGCCTAGACTATCTGACAGACTTTCCTGTGAAGTAGGAATTTTGAAGGACTGTCCTACCTCGTCTTGGCAAAGTTCAACAGTTGCCTTTTTTTTTGTATCTTGCTTGTCCAATTTCGACAGCATACTGTCATCAGTTAAAGCAAGGTCATATTCTTGCCTTAGGTGGCTAGTTTTCCACATAGAAAGTAAACCTCCATCTGGAGATTCTTTGATGACAGTTATTGTCTTTTTTTTTTAAGTAAATTGGTGCTATCAGGAATAGACAGGCTTGTCTTATTGTCATGAAAAGCTTTATGCTATTAAAACATAGGTCTTTGAAGTGTTTAAAGACCATCTATCTAAAATATATTTCTATTTAACCTTGAAAACATAACTAACATGACTATAAGCTTGGTTATTAGAGAGGACTAACTACTAACCTATTTATTATCCTAAATAGCTTTTAAGGACTAGAAGTTTATATTACATTGTTAAATGAGGTGCATAGGTAAAACACCTTAAACAAGAGTAAAAACATATATACAGTATAACAAAAACAACCTTGAATTTGCATCAATAAACAAAAATCCATACCAATGTAAATACTTGAGATGTGACTATTCAAAAGTAGACTCAACGATCCCTCCTTTTATCTCATCATTTCTATACTATACCCCCCTTTGTCCTTCAGAAAGAGATCCCTGGAGATCTAACCTCCTTTGTTCAGTTTTTTCTCTGACCATGACCAATAACAACTTATAATCAACCCTTCTCCAAATGATGACAAACATCCATAACCCACAAATGACAGAAAAACATCGCCCCACCTCTTGGAAATGTGGGCATCGTGTTCTCTAGACTGCTTCCTGTTGTCTAGGGGCAACAGCATCTTTAGGAGACCCTGAGAAAATTGGGATAATGATCAAGTCCTGGGAGAGCTAGTTGTACTAGTTTATGTTTAGTCTCTGTGTGATGGGAAAGTGTAGAACTTATCTGAAGTCTTGGCTAGATAATCTGTGAGGCTGAACTATCTCAGCAGTTTTGAAATTGTTCTGGATGCTGAATTTTGAGGAAACTGCAACAGAGACATTCTGAGAGACTAGGTCACTTGGGCTACTTGACTCCATTGGTATCTGGTTCACAAGAATGGAATATGCAGTAGGCAGACGTCAGTGAAAGATTCGTTGTTGTTGTTTTATGTTTGAGCAGGTAAATGGCATCTGTGAACTTTATATTTGTTTGGACTCTATAGCCGGGCCTCAATCCATGCTATGTGAAAGGCTGGCATGTAACAAAAAGTTGTGAGGACTCTGTAGTCAACAAGATTTATCATGTCTCATCAGTCTTAGAGCTGTTCCCATGTCGAGGGATCTGCATATATGTCACACGTCCTGTAGTCTTTCTTGGTTTTTTCTATAGCCAAGATCCTCAGGAGGTCTCCCCCTGTTGAATCTGATCTCCATTAACTTTGAAGGAATCCATAGCTTTCCGTTTCCTGTGGAAACAAAAGCAAAACATCTTACCCAATGTAACATATTTTCTGACTTCCATTTTGAAGTTAAGACATTCTCTTCTTTTTGTTTTGTTTTGATTTTGTTTTTTGTTTTTTCAAGACAGTGTTTTTCTGAAGCTTTGGAGCCTATCCTGGAACTAGCTCTTGTATACCAGGCTGGCCTCGAACTCACAGAAATCCACCAGTCTCTGTCTCATGAGTGCTGGGATTCCAGGCATGTGCCCCCACCACCTGGCAAGACATTCTTAAAATATATAGGCTGAGCCGGGCAGTGGTGGCACACGCCTTTAATCCCAGCACTCAGGAGGCAGAGGCAGGAGGATCTCTGTGAGTTTGAGGCCAGCTGATCTACAAAGGGAGTTCCAGGACAGGGTCCAAAGCTACAGAGAAACCCTGTCTCGAAAAACCAAAATACACACACACACACACACACACACACACACACACACACACACACAGGCTCGTTTGATTTAGCAGTTTCCAGAATCCAATGTCTCTCAGCACTATTGTTTTTTGTTTGTTTGCATTTTAAAATTCAAAGCCAAGAAAGCACCATATAGGACCCAGACACCTTGTTGCACAAGAAGGGTGGCCCTTTGTTCTGGCTGCCTGGCTAGCTTACACCGGAAATAATCACACAGAAACTGTATTAATTAAAACACTGCTTGGCCAATAGCTCTAGCCTCCTACTGGCTAACTCTCACATCTTGATTTAACCCATTTCTATTAATCTGTGTTCACCACGAGGTCATGGCTTACCGGCAAAGATTTAGCATGTCCGACCTTGCGCCATGGCGCTCTCTCCCTCTGCTTTCTTCCTCCCAGAATTCAGTTCTGTCTTCTCTGCCTACCTAAGTTCTGCCCTATCAGGCCAAGCAGTTTCTTTATTCAACCAATGAAAGCAACACATAGACAGAAGGACCTCCTACACCAACACCTTGTATATTTCCCATCATAACATGACTTATTCTTTTCTACATTACTTTTTATTTAAAGACATTATTTTTAAACATTTTTTGTATGACTGACTATACCCATTTTCTTTCTTTTCTTCAGCACCTAAACCTATTCACACATATTGTATCTGTTTTGAGATTTCTTTGCTCTGGACCTGACTTTCCTAAGCACCTACAGTGTTCTCTGACCATGTGAGATAAATCCTAAACTCTTTGGCTAGGCTCTCTGCCATGTGGCTTTGATGGAGCTGATGGCTGGCTTTGCCTCCTTCAGGTCCGACTAATCATCCCAGCTGCACCTAACTGCCCCAGTTCTGGGAAGCTGCTGTGTCCATGCTGTGGCGGGCATTTCTCCCTAGTCTTCTGCTGCAGAGTAGTGCATGGGCTCACCTCTGTACACTGGGAGCAGCGGGCTCTGTGTATGTACCCCACACTGAGTGCTAAATGTGGCCAGTCCTTCCTGTCCTGCCAGCCAGCTCACAAATGACAACATGGAGACTTTCTAATTATGAAAGCTCGACCTTAGTTTAGGTTTGTCCCACTAGATCCCATAACTTAAATTAACCCATTTATTTTAATCCGTGTTCTGTCACGTGACTCATCACCTCATCTCTCCACATTACCCATGCTGCTTTATCTGAGACTGGCTGGTGACCCACCTTCTTCTTCCCAGAGTTCTTTCTCTGCCTGGAAGTCCCAACTATATCTCCTGCCTAGCTATTGGTCATTAACTATACCAATTAGAGCAATGTATCTTTACACAGTGTACAAATATCCTACAACACTCGCCTGTGCTTTCAAACAATTAAATCAAAGGAAGGACTTCTGGAATATATGAGAAAGTCTGAAAAGCAAGCTCATGAATTATTACATGCGCCCTGCAATTACAGATGAAGGTGGATTTGTCAGGGAGAGAAACTAAGTGTTGGACATCCTTGCATTTTGTTGTATACAAAAAATGTTTCACTCACTTCTGCTCCAGGCCCTTCCTTCAGCTCAGCTGAGGGTGCACACACTTTACACTCTCAAACAAACACCACAGACACACCCACACCCAGAAGACATCTCAGAGATCTCATCTAGAATCTTACCCTTGACAAAGCCTAACCTCATCAATAGAGGGACAACAGGTTCTTATTGATCTGGGTGGTGGTGCTGGTTGCTTGTTTAGACTAATTTTGCAGAAATCATGGGGAGAAAAAAAGCAACCAATAATGAAAGTTTTATGTGAACATCTTCTATCTTTCTGTTTCGTTTTGTTTGTTTTTTTGAGACAGGGTTTCTCTGTGTACTAGAGAGAAAGGAATTAAGGCAGAGTGCCACCATGCTCAGTGCTTATCTTTTAACCTGTATATCCCAAACACCTTATAGGCCAAATAATAAAGCAGCCAGGTAAACAAAGATATAGCCGTTGACTTTAAAATCACCCCTAGGCACCGGGTGTGATGGCACATGCCTTTAATAGCAACGCCCAGGAAGCAGGGGCAAGTGAATCTCTATGAACTCTAGGCCATCCTAATTTAAATAGAGAATTTCAGGTCACTCAGGCTACATGGTGAGACCCTGTCTCCACTCCTACTTCTGTCCCATGCCCATCCCTTAAAGAAAGAAAGAAAGAAAAATCACTCCTGAGTATGATCCCTTGTCTAGCATGTGTGAAACCCTAGGTTCAATTCACAGCACTTCAAATAAAAATAAATAAATAAAGTCACCCTGACCTGCGCTTTGCTTTTTAGTGGGTTCTCATAGAGGATCTCACCCTTTCAGCAACCTGGTTTGATTTTCTGCCCTGTCGAAACTGTGAAGACACTGAAGTTCTTTCCTCTGTGATGACTTGGCCTTCTTTTTGTTTATTTGGTTTTTTTTTTCCCCCTAAACAGGGTTTCTCTGTAGCTTTGGAACCTGTCCTGGAACTCACTCTGTAGACCAGGCTGGCCTTAGACTCACAGAGATCCACCTGCCTCTGTCTCTCAAGTGTTGGGATTAAAAATGTGCACTACCACCCCCTGCTGTCCTGGCCTTCTAGGAGCTATGGCTCCAGACATTACTGGGCTTGACACTATCTGGTATAGAACCCACCCTCATGGGGCTAGCCTTGGCTCTCTACGTCTGCGCTTGTCAGGTGTTTAATATGTGTGGATGCTTGCTCTGCCCTGCTATGCCTGGCCGCTGAGGGCACAGCTTTTTTTCTTCATTCTAATCAGTATGTGAGCTGAGGTAAAAGGCTGAGACCAGTTCTGGAGAAATGCATTTCAGAAGGAACTAAAAACAGACAAAACAAGAAGAAACAAAGCCTTTTCTGTTTGTTTGTTTGTTTGTTTGTTTTGTTTTCTGGTGCAGCAGCACTATGGGAGTGGCAGGGTCTGTGGATTTCAGACAGTTAAAACTATTTGGGTGCTAAGACTCTATGTGACCAATGTTCTGTACTTGTTAGAGGGGTCCCAAAGGGCTAAAGACAGAGAAGAAAATCACTCACATAAAGAGATGGGGTGAAGGGAGGCCCAGAGGGGAAAGGGGGCATACAACCAGAGACTGGTAAAATCTTCTGTCTGTAGCATCTAGCACATGGCGGGTACAGTTTCTAGTAATATCATTCATTTTCTTGGGTTCAGAATTCTCCCTTCTCCACTCTTTGACCTCTAAACTCAACTACAGAATCAATATTAATTGATTATGGCATATTCATTAGAATACATACAGACATGTGCAAATCAGTCAGTTCTATCTACGGTTATGTCTTGGTCCATTCCGGCCACTATAACAAAATATCAGTCAGCAGAACATTTACCTAACATGCACAACACCCGGGGTTCAATCCCCAGCACCGGGCATATACTATACTTGCAATTCTACTGGGCGATGAAGAGGTAGAAGTAGGAAGATCAGAAACTGAAGGTCACCCTTGGCTACACGGCAGGTTTGGAGCCTGTCTGGTCTTCATGAGACCTTTCCTCAAAAAAATAAAAATAAGATAAAATGTAAGCTAGATAGTTTATAAACAACAGAATCGTATTCTAAAGAGTTCTAGAAGTTAGGAAATGGAAGACCAAGACATCAGCAGTCCACGCTGGTAAGGTCGTGCTTCCTAGTTTACCTGGTGGAAGGGCAAGATGCCTCTTGGTAGCTCCCTCATAAGAGTATACCCTGGTCTACAGAGCTAGTTCCAGGACAGGCTCCAAAGCCACAGAGAAACCCTGTCTCGAAAAAAAAAAAAAAAAAAAAAACACAACAAGAGTACACCTGAACGACCAAATAGCAACCCAGAAAAACCCATCCCCCAACACTATCACATTGGTGATGAGGTTTCAACACATGAATTGGGAAGCAGGTGCCAAAACACTGAAATGGCCAATAGACAAGGCTGACTGTCCGTGGAGAAAGCCAGTGAACTGAGCCCATTCACTGAGGTAAAACCAGCGCAAGCAAACCCTGTGCAAGACTCAGCGGAAGTCCATAGGCCACCATACTGAAAGAGACATGGTGATGGCCAAGTGTGCAATGGAGGAGGAAAATGCAGGCTTATTCATTGGTGATGTGAGCCTCTAGGCTCTACACGATGTCCATACGGCCACACCCTCTGATGAGGGGTGAGTAGGCTGACATATTGCAGATACCTCTACACTGCTGCTTTCTGACCAGCCCTCAGGGACCAGGATTCAGATTCAGAGGGGAGAAGCCTAGGTGATTTTTGAGTCTTGGAGGAAAAGACGAAAAGTATTCTGGAGAAAGCTTGAATGTATGTGGAGATTGTGAGCATGCGTGGAGAGCTAGCTGGGGGCTGTCGCTCAATTCATTAGAGTAACAGATTGCTCATACCTGGCACATTCTCTAAGTAGAAAAAGGAGTAGCAAAAAAAAATGGAATGAGAATAATAATAATAGTAATGATAGTAATAAAGAATTAACTGATACCAAATGTTTTCCCCTCGGTCTCTGCTTGCCCAGTCTGACTGGTACAACTTATAATTAGTCTCTGCCTGCAGATGTGTGGTTCCAATGACTTGTGGATTAAGGAGAAACTCTAGAATTTCTCAGTACCTGACAAGTTGTAACGTGAAAGGCTACACTTAGTCCATTAAAGATTTTTCACAGTGACATTTGAGTGCAGCTTGGGAAAGACGCCACCTTGCCATTTATCATTTTCAGGGCACGGGTGTCGGGAAGGAGGTTGCTCGGAAGAACAAAGCAAAATGGATTGCATGTATGGAGGTGAGCTGGTGGATGCTGATAAATGGACTCCAGTGAATGTCAGCAAATGCCACTTGAGAAGCCATTTGCAGCTACCATAACACACCCCAAACCAACAAAGAGTCGCAAAACAGGCCAAATGAACTGGGCGGCTTGCTTCCGCATGAATAAACAATCAGGCCTCTCAGAGGTTACACCAGAAAGTTGTTCAACTTGATAGAATGGGCTTTTCAACCATCCCGACACATGTCTAGATTGCTGCCGAGGGCTGGAGACCTTCTGAGGACACCGGGGCTGTGACTGGTGGACAAGACGTAAGAGCCCCTTCAGCCCCGTGGGTGCCTTCCTTTTGCATGTGGACAGAGGAGCTGTCTCTGAGACAGGTTTTCTGGGTTCTTCTGTCCAGCATGCTGCTTTTGCAGATTCTCAGAAGCCCATCCCCTTCTAATCTAGCTCCCCTCCCAGTGTGATCCAGGTGGCTGAAGGAGGGAACAGGTGAGACCTCTCAGGAATGCAGCTCTCATTATCAAGGGATGTCTGGGTATCATCCACTCTTGGCCCATCCAGCCTTTTTGTCGCTCATACAGAAAAAGAATTTGAGTGACGGCATCAGTTTCTGTTTCATTCCTGATGATTGGCCGATACTTAGTCCTTGTGTGACTTGGGATTTCTGGAAGGTGGGTGTATGTTACCTTCAGAATTCTGCTTGGGCCCACGGGTCCCTTTCTTCCTCCTCAACTTCGCGCTTCTCCACAGATCACTGCAAGGAAGTAATTGGAAAGAAAGAAGACTGCTTACTCAGAACAACTCTCCAGGGAAATAGGACTCATTAGAATGAAGTCACAGGCCCTCTTCCTTCCCTAATCTCTGCAGACTCCTCCTTCCCCTCAACTCCTATGCACAAGGTCATCCAATACTTCCTCCTTTGTACCAAGACTCCCAGACTAGCCTGAATTGGCTGACTTTGTAAATATGCCACACACGTACTCATGCCTGCTCTGTGCCCACACACACTGAGGTCAGTTGGTCGGGCGTTGGAGAATGCAGTGGAACAGAGCCCTTCCTGGACTCTTGCTGAATGTGGCAATGGATGACTTCCCTCCTCACACGGTTACAGACCACATTCTGACCACATATTCTGAACACAGTTTATAACCGGGAAGAGATGGGCTCCGGGGAGAGCAGCTTCCCTTGGATGAACCCTGATGGTTGGTACGTGTAGGAGTGGCTGGGCTGCTGCTTCTTTCCCAGATGGTGCAGAGCTCTTCATAACCCTGCTGTTCCCTTTGAATTAGGTGCTTCCTATGGAAGGGCTTTTGCTTCGGTCCAGGAAGCTCAAAAGACATCTGTTTAAATTATTGAAATTGAATTGCTCTCAACTTGTTGACTTGCATGCTTAGTTTGGGAAGAAAGAGAGGCTTGTTTAGGGAAAAGGGAAGAATGGGGGAGGAGAAGGAAGGGGAGATGGGGTGGGGGGGAAGAGAGGTCTATGGGGGTGAAGGTGACATCCAAATGGAGGTGATACAAAGAGGAACGGTTGACGGGATATCCTGCCTAGAGCAGGATTCACTGTACAATCTGGGATCCACTTCACCCCAGTAAAATGCTTCTCTGAAGAGACAGTGCCTGCTGTGTCCCAGAGTGGGGTTCATGTGTCAGATTCAAAGACCCACTGTAGCATATAAACACATTCTGAAGAGAAATCAGGAAAAGCGTAGATATTTTTCATCTTGCCCAGATTATTCATTTTTCTACTTCCAATTTTTCAATTTGTATTTTTCTTTTTTAAGGCGTAGACTTACGTAAGACAGACGTAAGGCTAGCCTTGAACTTGCTAGGTAGCCAAGGTTGACCTTGAACTGCTGACCCTCCTGCTTCTATCTCCCAGGCATGAGAATTACAAGTATATACCACTACAGTCAGAGTGAATTTATATCTTAGAGTTCAAACTAATAAGCATCTATATCTAGAAGAGGGGGAAAATGTTCCTAATTGTTACTGTCATCCAAATCCTGCCATTGCTGGTGACAAGAGCTAGGTTAAAAAAAAAAAGTCAGTCTTCATAATTGTTTGTGTGCTTAAGGAACCAAAACAGATAAGTATCATCTCTGTCTCTCAGGTGACAAAAAACAGAGCTACTTTGAGTTCAAAGCTTTATCTGTGCTCAGTTGCTGGCCCAGCTTTCCTTGAGTTTCATCTAGAGGCCATTTCCAAAGACTGGGTTCCTGGGTTCCTTTTCTACAAACCTAACCCTTTAGCCGCTTTGCATTGAGATGTTTCAAGCAAATTGGTACCTTGTGAGGGAGGGTGTTCAAAATGCAAAACTCCTAAAACTTGCAGTGAGGGAAACAGGCCAGGCAGCGAGGGTGAGGATGTCCACCCATAGAGGACTCTGGACAAGGGCATGCATTCCCTGTATGACTGCAGCAACCAGGACTCATCAGCTGCAGACATCAGCTGCAGTCTCAAGCTGACCTCCCAGGGTGGCCTCCAGAGAAAGGAATGGGACATCGACCTTAGAAAGTGGGAGAGAGGTAAGAGAATATTAGGCTAAAAGAACAGGCAGGCTAACCCAGGGCAAAATATTCAGAAGTATTTCTAAGGCTTTTGTTTTTGTTTTGCCATTAAATCATTTACTCAATTGTTTGAATAAGCACTCGGTTTCCCTCCTTAGGTCAGATGTGATATTATGGCTTAACTGGATACCAGCTTCTTTCTACATGGTACTTCGTACCATTTAGACTCCTACTAAACCTCTAATGTCCAGTTCAAACCTCACCTCTTCCCGGAAGCCTTCTGAGATTAGACTCCTGCTTGTTCCTGGCGGGACACCTGCTGTCCTCCGCTGTACTTGTCTGTGCTCTGAAGAAGCCAGTCTATCTCTCCATCACTGCCTTGGTCTCTCCTAATCAGCTCTTTGAAATGGGATTTAAGGCTACCTAAACTGGGTTATCTTCCACACACACTGAGATTTAAGCCATTTGGGTTTAAATATATGGAAAACAGTCTTCTCGGCTGTTGGTGACATTTACATTCGGCCTAGAATAGGAAAATGTGTTGGGGGAGAAGTATAAGGGGAGCCATTTGGATTATTCGGGTAGTAGTAGGGAAGGAATCAGGAAGTGAACTTGGGTGTGGGTGTGGGTTGGGGTGAGGACTGAACTAGCTAAGCTGTTGTGTAGCTCTGGCCTTTGCTGTCCAGTGCCATCCTTCCTAGTACACTTTGGTACTCACAAAGCCATTGCTCCAACCTCTGCATCAAGTATGCTTTAGAGACCTAGGGGCTGATTTCTCGTGTAGAGAGAATGGGGTAAGAGATGAGAGGGTTTCCTTTGGTTTTGGGGTCTCCTGGCATCAAAGCAACCATGTTTCCTCAACACAGCAAGCGACTTTCACTGCTTAGGGGTCACCGGGGAAGGATGGCCACCTCACCAACCACACACCGCTGGTTTCTCTATTGGTAATAAAGGCGTAATAAGAGATTTACAAAAAAAAAAAAAATAATGGCTGCTTTTGATAATGTTCCTTTCTTTCATTCTTCATTTTGATTCCAGGACTTGGGACGTCCCTTCTCTCCTTCTGATACCTGTTGTTTTTCAGAGAGACGTCTTCATGCAAATTGTCACTCTTTTTAATGGAATGAGCGGAAGCAAGCAGAAGACTTTGTGCCCAAGCTGAATTGTGATGCAAAAGAAACCATGATTTACCTCCCTTGATAACTTGATAACTGGGGCATCTGAAAGGCTCGAACAGCTATTACTGTGTTTACGTAAAAACAAAAGCAAAAACAATAATAACAAACTTTACCTAACAGGATTCAAAACAGTCCTCTTATTTTGAATGTTACATTTCAGTTTTGTAAATGTACTTATTTTCCTGCCCAGTTAGGAGATTTTTAAAAATGTGCCTTGATTTTTTTTTTTTTAAAAAAGATGATGATCTTTGGAGCTTTTAAAAATCGCACTGGTTGGAAAGATTCTCCTCTTCATTCAGCTGCTCACGTGCATCCCCTCTCCTTGCAGAGAGCAGAACTGCCCTGCATACTCAAAAACTGTCTGTTTGCTTTTGAAATGGCACAAATCTGTAAGTGAGCATTTCTAGAATTATTATGCAGCAGAAGTAGTGGGGTTTCCTACCAAGAAAATCTACATTGAGAGAAGTACCAAAGTCTAGGGAGCATTGAAGGAAAGTTTAATATCCAAACAAAAGCAGTATTACCATCACTATCCATTCTCTCGCCTGGAGGAGAAACAATTAATGATTTGCATATGCTCATGACACAAATTAAAGACAAAAGACCCCTCAAGGGCTGTGGTTACCACGCAGATCTCAGCGTGGTGCAAGGTTTCAGCCCTGCTCTGCTCTTGCTCCAAATGAATAGCATTAAGCTCCATAACCAAAAATAGGGGTTGTGGGCCCTCTGGCCTATTCCCACTGTAGAATTCTGTTCCCCAATCAGAAATATCTCCCAGTCTCCCTGGGAGCTTCTAGGCAAACAGAATGTATAGTCCCAAGGGAAAAAATAATGTATATACTTTGCCCTTTTTATTTTAATGGCCAAACATTGTAATGCTAGCTAAATAGAAATTCTCATCTGCTAATAGGTTCCCTTAGTTTGTAATAAATAGGAATGCTAATGACGAAAATTTGGTATTTGGTATGCATTAGCTTTTGCGAGCTTTTCTTTACAGCCCTCATTGACATGCAATATGGCAAGCTTCCTTTGAAACATATTTATAAAATAACTACAGTATAATTAAACCAACAAAGCATCTTTTAGGGAAGCTTAATAGCTCAGGTTTTTTTATCTCAGTAAAAATTTTATTTTAAAAAGAAAAATAGTTATGCCTCAATCCCACTGTACATCTTATTCTGTGCATCTAATATTTCCTTTGCAGCTACAATCTGTACATATCTAATTCTTTTTGACAACCATGATTACTAATAAAGAGCTCATGAAAGATATACTTCATAGCTTCTTCAACAAGAATAATGTTTTTTTGTTAATGGAAATTGTAACATATCTTGACAGATACAGTATATAAGATGGGCTTTTTTCCCCGCTAATTGTTAATTTTGCTCTACTGAATACAGCCGATATGGCAGGTGATAATCAGAGTGGATGCTATTTTATACAGCGGGACCAAAAATATTTTAATGATATAAAAGCAATAGATAAATAAAAGAAATTATGTTTGATTTTGCTTCCCCGTGGCCGCAGTTTTGTTGTTGCTGCTGCGGCTGTGGGTTTATTTAATAGAAGAAACCATGAGCTGCAATACGCCCCCTTCTCTGCCCTTGGCCGGTTCAGAATTCCGAGTGTGCAGGGCCGGGTTGAATGCAAAATCGAGGTAGACAGGGGCTCAAGTTCGCCGAGTTTTGTGCAGTTTGTAAGCCCTACCACTCTCCCCAGAATTCCAAAGATACCAAGGCGTGGGAGTGGAGCCGCTATAGCAGACTCAGGCCGCTCTTTCGCTCCTTAAACCCCTCTCCTCTGCCCTGTAGTCTTCTCTCCCTTCTTATGAAACTCAGTCCTCGAGGCCGAGGAGCTGCCGAATCCTCTCCGCACCCCCCTGCGCAAAGAATAAACACAATTGACTCCCCTGTTATAATCTTTATTTAAAACAGTTTCCAAGGTTACAAATTGCAGTGCCTCGTATGCAACAGGTTCATCCGAAGCAGTATCATTACAGATTAACTGTAATGTGTAGGATTAAAATAAAAACATAAGGGATTAGGTAAAATGGGCGATGCTTGAGAAATAACGCCCGAGCTCATCCCCCTGCGAGTACGCAGAGAGTCTGCGAAGACGCGAAGATGCGGGGTGTTGGGATGCCGCGGCGCACGCATTCGGACCCTCGTTCCGCGAGCGGTCAGGAACTGTGGTTCTGGCAGGGCTTTTGCGGCTAGAGGCTTCTGGAACGCCAGGGAGGAGACTCTAGGCTTCCAAAACTGGGAAAGGCCAAGGGCCAGAGGACTATACAAGTGGACACCGCAGGCAGACCTGGGGGGGGGGGGGTTCCCCCGACTGAGGCAGACTGGAAGCGCCGCGCCAGGGACAAGGCTCCACTCCCTTAGGAAGCACCCAGCAAAAAGTGAGGGGGGACAGTATACCTGCAGGATGTCACTGAGTTTGTACATATGACTGACGTGACATTCAAGGCCCAAGCTTAATAGGATCCTACATGGAGTCCATCTGTTAACCTCACTGTTGTCCCTACTCCTTGCCCGTGTCCGAAACCCAGGAGCCGCCACTCAAGTTACACGCGCCCCTCTGAGCCCAGATCTTGGGCCTCCACAACCCTCTGAGGCCCTCAACCGCTCCCCGGCCACCTCCCCTCCTTTAGTCCCTTGTGCCCTCTGGCTCCAGGAAGATCCCGGAGCCCTCCAGTCCCCTCTGCTTCCTGCGGGGCCAGAACTCGCGGCGCGGCGAGGCGGAGGCTAGACTGCGGCCTGAACCGAGACGCGGCCTGGGGCGGTTGACGCAGCTTCGAGGGCTATTTGTGCGACCGGGTGGAGGGCTCCGGGCTGTAAAAACAAACAGGGCCAAGGCTCAGCGGCTTGGAGGCTGGCTGGGGCTGGAAGGAAGTGTGCAGTGTGGCTAGAGAGGGAAACAAAGCCAGCTCCCCAGCTCGGTCACCCCGCAGTGACCCCAGACCCGCCCCGCTGAGTCGCGGGGCTCCGGAGCCTTTACCCTGACCCGGTCGTGTAGCTCGGTCAGCCCACGCCAGGTGCTCCGTGGGCTCCGGGCCATCGCTGCCGCCTTGGCTGCTCCATCGTCTGCTCTCCGGCATTCACGGAGACCCAACGGGCAGCCAGGCCGGAAGGCGCGGTGGCCAGAGCAGCAGACAACGGAGCCGCACCTCTCCACGAACACCAACCGCTCAAGGCTGGGGGGAAACGGTGTAGATACCCTCAGTCAGAGAAGCAGGCGATTCTGAGGTTGACTAATAGCCACAGCAGTACCTAGCAGCCAGGGAAGAGGCGAGTGAACTCCCAAGTGGAAGAAAGTGGGCGAGCAACTTCCCCCAAGACTCCTGCTTGCAAGAGAAGGACCCTGGTTAAGGCGGCAGCGGGAAGGGGCTGCTGCAAACAGCTGTTCCTCATACATATTTCATTACACAATCAGATAATGCGTCCCACTACCTTCTCAATTATTCACAGATAAACATTTTCAAGACGTTTTGACATCTGTCTTGGTGCCTGCTATTAATTTAGTAATCACTGTAGTTAAAAATGTATGGGATTTTTTCCGTTGGAGTACCTCCTTTCTGAGCGTGAGCCCAGTGCTGGGCTGCAGCAGAGGGCCCGGGCCCTCTGGGAGTGAAGACACCTTGGGAGGTGAGACGATATCTCTAGAGCATTGACACTGTTTTGGAAAGGATTAAAGGGGTATCTGGTTATTTTAATTTATTGTTGAAGGTAATGACTGTCATATCACACACGTGCACATGCACCCAACCGGTGATATCTCCTGCCAACTTTAGACCCACAAGGGCATTTAGCCCTTTGCCCTGAGCAACGGAAATGGTTTGCTTCATCTAGGCAGCTAGAGTTTGTTGAGAAAGTGTAGGCAACCCGACAGGAACACATACACGCATGTGCATTTATGCATTGACATGTTAAGAAAATTGAGCGCTGCTCAAGAACTTAACAGTTGTCGGTGCAAGCAGAGGGCACAAACCTCCGAAGTTTCGCTCCTAGTTCTGTGTTCTAGGCAGAAGGAAAAGGGGTAAAAAAAAGAAAAATAAACGATGTCCCGCGAAGTCTGTTGAGTCTTCGGGGTTTGGAAAAAACAGTGGATCTTTGCTTGAGAGGTGAATGCTACCCTCTTGCAGCTAAAGCAACATAAACAAGTTTTTTAAATCAGAGTTTGAAAATGTTTGTAAGACTGGAAAATCAGAGTAAACACTTCCAGTTCCAACATGCTGTGGTTCCTGGTGAGAAGGGCTGCAAAGCACCCAAAGAGGAAGAAAATGTCCGAAGACAACCAATTCATTTCTTTGTGCTCTGAATCTTAGCTAGAAGGAAGACAAGTTACACTTTGGATCTGAGAGGTGATGCATTCTTGTTCGTTTCTCTCTTTTGGTCCCAGTCTCTCACTGAGGTGCACCAGCAGGTGATTCAAATGCGGGCATGAGAGAGAGAAAAATGATCTGGAGAAAAGAGCTTTGAAGAAACTGCTCTGCTGACGAAGATTAAGATTCCATGGACTCTGGGATGATTTCCACAATTTATTGTCCAAAATGCAAACAAGAACAAATTCACTAAAATGGTCAGGGAAAAGTGAAAGAACTGCTCACAAAGGGGAAGAAAGTCTCCCCTAGTCACAGCTCTCTGTCTCTTCAGGGGACAGTTAGTTACATCCCTTGCAATGTTTCCTGGAGCAGTGTTTGAGGGTCATTTCTTCTTTACAACAGGGACTCTCATTTGCTTTTTGGAGAGTGGTTATTGGGCTTGTTGGCCCAGAAGCAAGCACCCCAGCGTACACACACACCCCCTTCCTCTCCCCCCCCCCACTTCCTTGCTGTCCTTTTAAAGAAATGGTCCAAGACTTTACTCCTACTACTCTCTTGGGAGGGGGCTCAGAAAAGAAGCTTAAGAGAGCAAGTTGGAAAATGCAATATGAGGAAGTACACCACTGCTTGGAGCAGTCCCTGCCTCTTCTATAGGGAACTGGGGCGGTATTGTCCAGGACTGTTCCTCAGGAGTCAACAGGCAAAGGAGGTGAAAACAAGTCAGCACACTCATTAAGTTTACCCCCCCCCAAACCACTGTGGGAAACCCCGTTGGTAGGCTCACAGTCCAGTCCAGAGGAGCAGTGGTGGAAATGTCTCAATATCCCATAAAAGAAAATCGGTTAAATAAATAATTTAGATCACACTAGCACATTCTTTGCAGATTTTTTATATGTTTGGGATTGGGGAGGGCTATAGTTCTCTTCAGACTTCCAAAGAGAAAAGCAAAGCACGAGGGGGGGGGGTGAGCAACCAGGGCTTTTCCACATTTTGAGCTTCTTTTGAACTGAATGTTCCCATTGGAAACTAAGAGTCCTTTATCATCTACTGTGCTGTCTACCCAAGCCCTACTCCAGAGCACAATCTCCCAGGCAAAGGGTGAAAAAGACAACACTGGAGGAACTGAGTCAAAAGGAATCTGTGCCTCTTTTGGGTATCTCCAACAGAGCAGGTGGGCGAGTCTTAAGGCAGGCTCGGGGGAGATGATTCCTTGGCTCTTTCTTCAGAATGTGGCCTGAAACGTTACTTCCAAAAGATTCAACCAAGTTTCTTCCTCACAAAGGAAGACACCAGGGCTAACACACCTCCTGCAGGAAGTACTGCATTCTAGCTGAGTTTACTCTTCTTGGCCTCCTGTCCACGTGTGCCTGTGTGCCTGACTGGGGTCACTCTATGTGGGCACTGTAGCTTTTGTCTGCATCTGGACAGCTGGGTGTGTACCCATGCATTCGGTCCATGCATGCAGCCCCTTCTTTATTCCCCCAGTTCTGTTGTTAGGGTTCCTTTAATCCTCCTGAAGTGTGTTCTCACACAATCACAGTGCAAATACCTTCTTGAATTCCAGATGAAGGCGTTACTCCAGAGATCTGTGTTGGGGACAGGAGGTGGACCAGGATAGGTTCCTGACACTCGGTGGGGTGTAAGGTTGCTACGTTTCCCAGTTCCGGGGACTCTAGGCTTTTTTTTTTTTTACACCTTCCTCTATCCAAATAAGTAGTAACCTTTTTCAAGATGGAGCGACCCTCTGCCATCCCACAACACACGGATTCAGGAAGGGTGCGGTCAGCCTCTAGAACCTCCCCTGGTAGACCGTAGCTCCGAAGAGCCAAAAAACAAACAAAAACCCGAGAGGCAGGGTGATGTCTTGATTTTTTTAGACGCTAGCCGGCAGACATCCTAGCTACTTTCATCCTGAGTCACCCTGGAGAGAGCAGAAGCTCTGTAGTTCACGTCAGTGAGCTTCCAAACAAACCCTCTTAGAGTTATGGAGCGAAACTCTCCTTCCAGACAGCCCTGAAGAGCACCACTTACGTCTGCAAACTATGAGGGCCCGCCCCCTGGGCTCCTCCTCTAGCCCTCACCCTAACTTTAAGCGCCCAGCAGGAGGGTCAGAACTGGAGTCACTTTCTCCCCTAGGCACTAGGAACCAAGCCACTTTTCAGGGTCCCTAGAGGGACCTAAGGGCCTGGACTGCAGAGGCCAGAGTATTGAAAGCAATGATCACGGGTTTCTAAACAACCTAAGCGATATATTCCTCCACTGACTTCTCTCTAGGGCCTGGGTGACTGGTGTTCTCACCCGCCAGCAAGAGAGCAAACATGGGGAGTGCACCGTGAAGGGTGTTCTCTTGAGATTGGAAGCGGCTTCAAGGAATCTTCTAGATGTGATTTTTCTGTGATTGAAGCTGACTTGCGATTAACTTCAGGTAGCATATAGTTCTGCTGTGGGCCTGTGAGTTTTTCCTACGTGCTTACATTGAGTGAGGTTACTTATCTTCACCTCACCGCCCCCGCCCCCCAGGCAGCTTTTATGGCCGAGTAAAAGGGCCAGCGCTTCCCCCCCACCCCACACCAGATATGTAAAGCCGAAGTTCTTAATGCTCACTCCAAAGATCTGTTTCAACCGTCCAAGCTATATATATATATATATATATATATATATATATATATATATATATATATTTGCCCTTGCAGGGTCAGAAGGAAAACCCTATGCAGGAAAAGAAGATCCCGATTAACCACCCTATACCCATGGCAGGGAGGAGTTCTAACCTCTACACACTGGATCTTCGGACCTTGCCACCTCACTCCCAACCCAATCTGTTATTTGGATTAGTGGCGGTGGGGTGGGAGGGCTAGAGAGGGAGTTGTGTTGACACAGGATGGAGGTGCAGATGAAAAAGAGGACAGGAAGAAGCGAGACTGGATGAAGATGTGCAGATGATGGGCGAGAATGAAGTGGAGATGGATATGGGGTTGCATCGCAGGGCATCAACTATTCACCCTTCTGTGGAGAGGTGCGTCTGGCTGCTCCGTTATTTCCCCCCAAATAAAGCTAATGATGTAGTAATTTAGGAGGGGTGAGGGGCTGGGCAAAAGGAGGGAGGGGAGAGGATGGGGGAACGCGCGCCCCAAGAGCGAAAGCAAACAGCTAGCTCTAGAGGCGCTGCGGCAGTTCAGGCTTCCCAACAGGTTAGCTAGCCCAGGATCCACCCGGTATTTCGCAGGAAGGGGGGGGGGGTGAGATAGCTTGTGGAGGGGAGATCTTTCCTGGAGGACAGAGGGAGGGAGAGAAAGAGAGATAGCGAGAGTGCGCGCGCAGAGCCTTTTGAAAGGACTTACACTTCCTAATGAATATTTATCCGCCGCTGCTACACGCTCCCGGCTTCTCTTACCTTTCCGCAGGTAAGATCCTCCCTGCTCCCCTACCCTGGGGGGGGGGGGGGATGTCATCCCGACTCCCTAGACTCGGGTTTGGGTGGTCAGTCTTTGGGCTGGCGGGGTGAGGTATGGGGTGTGGGGTAGGGTGGCTTCGCCATGTGCGATGGACCCCGCACGATCAACAGAGTGTGGGGGCTACCTGTGTGGAATGAGAGAGGGAGAAAGAGAGATGGAGAGAGAGGGAGGAGAGAGAGAGAGAGAGAGAGAGAGAGAGAGAGAGAGATTGTGCGCCCCCGAGCGCGCATCTGCTCAAGGCGCGAACTAAGGACATTTTCGGACTTTTCTCTCGGAAGCCCTGGATCTTTTGCCTTTGCCTTTCTTTGGATTTCCTCCCCACCTCCCCTTGGTCTCGTCTACCTCCTCCTCCATGCCCTTGGTTGCAGAACCGCTCATCTGCCCGGCTTTGTGCTGCTGGAACGCACCCCTCCAGGCAGGCTCTCGCATCTCTCACAAAGAGGATAAAGAGCTCTTTTTCTGCTGTATCCCCAATCCCGAGACCGCTGGTCAAGGGATCCCTCGACCCCTTTCCTGCAGGTCTACTCTTGAGATTCTGCCGCGCGCTCTGCCTCTTTCCCCCTCTTGGGGCGCAGAGGCTCATTGCAAGGAGATGAGAGATGACGGTCGATGACTGGGACTCCCGGGTACCGGGTTGAACTTCACAAGGGGTCTACTAACCAGGAACTGAGAGTCAGAACCGCCCCCCCCCATGGTAGGCCGCTAGTACCCCCCACCCCCGCCAAGGCTGGCGGGAGGAGCACAGCGAACTCGGACCCGCCTAGGGGGAAAGAGGGAGGGGGAAAGGAAAGGGGTCGGGGAGGAGTTGATTATTTATACAGAATTCTTTAAACAAACTTACCCAGCCACCTGTTGAGAATCAGTCTGGGGTCTGCCAGCTCCGGATCTGCTTTAGGTGGACACACAAAAACAAAAGCCAAGTTGGGAAAATAAATTTCTTTGGCCATGTTAGGCGAGGCAGGTTAGGCTCACAGCCCTGCGCTAGGGTCGCAAGGTTGTAAGATCCAAGAGGGGACCTGCCTAGAAGACCCAGGACTCAGCGTCCGTTCCCAGTCCCGCGCCTCCTCAGCTCAGAGGCCAAGGTACTGAGCCCGTGAACTCAGCGCTCAGAGCTCAGCACCCTCAGTTCAGCTTAAGCCGGGGCAGGCCTTCTAAGCCCTGCTCAGAAGTCAAGAGCAGCAGCGCCGCCGCTCCTCGCAGCCTTTCATGCTGCAGCCGCTTCTTATTCTTGTGTCTCGGCCTCTCTGGGATCCCCAGGACAAAGACCCCAGAACCCGACCGCTCCCTTCCCGCTAAATCCCCTTCGGGGTCAGTGCGTTACCAGCACAGGGCCGCACGCCTCTCCTGCTAGCCGTGTGGCTCTTAAAGAGCCCCACACCCCTCCGCCCCGCGCGCTCCGCCGACCCCCGTCACCCCTCCCCTCTCCTCCGTATCTAGCCCCCCACGCCGACGCCTGAGGTCCCTGCTGCCCCGACCCAATGCCCGCGGACTCTAACCCCCCCCCCTTCGCCTCCTCCCCTGAGCAGCCGGTGGAGCTGCGAACTGAATTCTACCCTTCGTTTTAGGTCTCCCTTCACTCCAAGAGCACCCACCCCTGCTTTTGCCCTATGAATGGATCATGACCTGGGCACTACCTTTGCCCAGCTCAGAGATGATCAACGGATGTCTGCCGGGGCTTGGTTTAGGGGGTCGTGGAATGGAAAAGGGGCTGGGCACGGCAGTGGGGCTGAATGGAAGGAGGAATGGGAGGAGGGGCTGGTCAGATAGACAGACTCTGCTACCCTAGACCCACGTTGGTCTCCAGCAGTTGTTGAAAGCTGGCCTTGAATGGGGTCCCGGGGTCAGCATCTCACTCTGCCCAGTGGATGCAGAGGAAGTGTTGTGAGCATACGCATACGGAGACTAGAGCGTCCAGAAGGTCCCGAGTGGAGAACTGAGAGTTCCCGGCTCCCAAGCCTTGTTTAAGGATCCAAGAAGGAGACCTTGAGTTCCAAATGTCCAGGGAAAAGGGCGACGGAGGAGAGAGGGGGCAGGGGAAAAGTCAATTCTTTTCGAGGAATAAAGTACAATTTCTAAAGATCTTATATTAACTAGTCAACCATGTCCCTTGGGCCAAGAAGAGAGGAAAAGGAGGAGATAGTGGCTGTCTCCACTCCCTTTCTTCCAGAATTTCCCCTCTTTTCTCCTCCAGGATTGTATTGGGCCCAGTCTGGCTCAAGGAGAGTGGCCTTGCCTGGGGTACCTTCTTTACCTTCTTCAGGCCTCTCCAGGGCTAGAAACATGACTGAAGCGAGATCAGGAAAAAGGTACTCTGAAGGCAAGTGTGAACCATCAAGTCGGGCTGTGGTGCCTAGGTTTCCTCAGAGGCGGCAGGTTACTTCATTTCACTGGTGGCGCTCAGTGGAGGTGGCAGTGGTGACGGTTTGGGGTTCTGAACCTGCCCACCCTTTCTCAAATACAGGCCCGGGGTTCTAGTTGTCGGAAGATTGGTGGAAAGAAGTGTGAGGCCTCTCGAGGAGGTGAGACCAAAGGAATCCGAGGAAGGGAGGTGGAAAGCAGACCCTCCCCTGTGTATCTGCCCTTCCGCCAGACCAACACTACTCCAGACATGCCTATAAGGAACTGGGGTGGCTAATTGATTTACAGCTGGCCCTGTGGGGAAAAATTTGTGGAATACACGGAGGAGCTCGATCCAAAAGCTGTAAAACCCACCTCCTTACTTCCCCATACACATAACCACTGTAGCTCTCATCCCCCAGAGTCTAGCTCCTTTCTCCTAGGGCTAGATTACTATGCAGCCTGCTAGACTGGGTTTGTGCCCACCCTCCTGGGCCTGGCGGTGGGAGGTGTTCAGGTCCTAGACAGAGCCAAACCTCTCTTGTTTGAGGATGTGGGGGGTGAAAGGGCCTTTAGCGGGCGGCGGTGCGCGCTGCCGGCCCCAGAGGCCGCCTTTGAGCCGTCGGGGCGGCTTCATTAAGCAGCGCTAACAAGGCGTACAAATGCCGGGCCCAGCAGCTTTCTTGCAATGTTGGGGCCTTAGCAGGGCGCCAGGCTAATGAGGGTCACTCAAAGGGGCTGATCAAATATTCAAATTTCCCCTCGCGCCGGGAACTTTTATGCACAGGGAAAGTTGAGGCAACTGAGCTGTGTTTACTGTCCTGAGCGACAATTGCTTGAAGCCTGGGTCCCCGGAGGCTAAGGAAGGGAGGGAAGCTGAGAGGAGGGAGCAGTTGTTGTTGTTGTTGTTGTTGTTCAAAGGAAAGTAATCGGGGGTCCTTGAAGAGGCCTCCCCGCCAGAGTACTGCGCTCCCCTGCGCCCTCCCTGGCGGCCTGCGCCAAGCTCCTTCGTTTGCAGCTTGCGGGGAGGCCCAGACCACCCGCTACCCAGCAATCTCCGTCTTCCAATGCCCTACAGCCCGGAAGAGGCGTTGCCCCCCCCAGGACCAACCTTCCTGACCATTTGGGTTGCCAGTTCCGGGTTGAGCAAGGGTGTAGCTATCCCAGGCCCTCTGCAGCGCGCTCACCCGCAGACCTGCGAAACCCTTGGCAAACCAAATAAGGAGGGAGTGGGGTTCCTGCAAAATCCCCAGATTAGACTGAGACTTTCTACGTTTGTAGAAAAGTGCCTGGCAGAGCACCACACAGCACTCCCGGATTCAAATGCCCTCATTTCTTCCGGCCCAGTCACTGAACTCTGACTCCAAGATTCGGTTGCCAGGGTTGACGGTGATAGCAGTTTTCTCTGAGCAGGTGACCTCCATAGGTACCGAAGCCGCAGATCCACCAAGTCCCAGTTTCTTGAGTCTCAGAGAGAGAGAGAGAGAGAGAGAGAGAGAGAGAGAGAGAGAGACTACAGGCTAATTCACCAAGGTCTTGCAGCTCTGAGAGTATTGGGATGCAGGCGATTCTTAGCGTCCCACCTACTCGGGAAGAGTCCTGCGCTCTTCCTAGATCTCCTATTACCCACTTCAGACTATCGAAGAAGGCAGCCTGGGTCCTTTGCACCAACCGCTCTCCCGAGTTGCTCAGTGCATGGGAATTTGGAAAAACTCTAGACGTCCACAGCACCTCCACTCACGCAGCCACGCAAACCTTTTAGATCAAGACCCTGCGGATCACCAGAAGCACCGGGGACCATCCGCCCCGCCTCCCTGAACAGCTCTCAGGACTCTCAACTTACCGGGTTTGGAAGCAGCGTAGCGCTTCCGGCCTAAGCCGGAGAAACGCTGGCGGCGGAGTGGCCAGGAGGTGGGCTCAGAGGGCGGCGCAGAGCCCAGTTCTGCTCGCTCACAGGCCCTCAGACAGTCCCGGGCTGCTGCAGGCCCGGGCGGGGTAGGATCGCACTCAGAGCTGTTCGCCTTGCCTGCGCCCTCCTCTCGGCTAAGCGCTCGAACGGCGCGGCTGCCACCGAACTGCCAAACCCAGTCGGCCCGCGGCCCGCGAGCGACCAGGCTGTGGCTGGAGTGCAGGGCTTTTCCGGAGCAGAGTCTGCAATCTCTTTGCCTTAATTCTTCCTGAGTGGCAAAGGTTTTCGATTTCAGCGCTTTCGGCACAGCCCGCGGCACCTGCCCAGCCTCCCTCCAGGCCTGGGTTTCCCCCCCACTCGGAGGCGGGGGTTGCGGGGATTGGGAGGGACTGGCCGGGTTCGCCCGCCCGCCTGGCGCCTGGGTCCCCGGCTCCAGGGGATGCAGTTTCGGGGTCACGAGCTGCTTTCAAAAAGTTGAACACAATATTCGGAAACCCACCCGTAGGAATTCTCCCCCCCCCACACGCGGCACAATACCCACTCCCCTCCCCCTTTTCATTCCTTCCTCCCCCGCTTCCTCCTCCTGCCCCTTCTCCCTCCCACCTTTCAGCCTATAATCCTTCCCCTACAAGAGAAAGGGGTCGGGAAGAAAAGACGAAGTGTCTGTTTTTGTGTCCCAACCTTTGGACTCTTTCTGGGCCCCGCAATGAGCGACCGCCCAGAGCCTCCCAGCTGAGCGGAAAAGGACTCCAGGTCCACAGGAAAATGTATGGAGAGACAGATCGCCAAAGTGGAGTTCGACGGATCCCATCTTTTAGGGGAAGCGTTCTTCCACCCTAGTCAGTGAGTTTAGGTTCCCCCACATGCCTCCAGCTAGACAGTTGTATAGTCCCCTAGTCCAACCCAAGCACTCTGTGTTACCCTTAACCGGGCTTGCCCTTTAAAACCTGGCGCTGCTGGATCAAGGCCTAAGAAAGACCTGAGCTTGAGAGTTAAGGCCTGCGACCATTTTAGCTCCAGGCTCCAGTTAGGTTCACATTTAAATTCTCCCACAATCTCTTTTTCACTCCTCCCTCATTGAGATCTCCCGAGTGGTGAGTACCCGGCGCCGCGCCCCCAGATCTGCATCGGAATGTAGAAAAGATCTTTTTTTTAAAAAAAGTTTTGAATTCCTCAATGATTTTTCTTCTGGAAAGGCAGCTTAGGATAATTATTTCAGCTTTATTGAGAGCAGATTAGTTGAAGTCTGGGCGCTGCGTTTCAATACGCGTTGTACATGGGCCGACAATGTGGGCTTTGTTGGCTACTGTGTGTGAATCCATTCAACATATACACTTTTTAACACCAAACCGAATCCTGTCTAAATATACACAGTGCGTAGGGAAAGATGTCTCTGACCCGGACAAATCTGCGTAAATCACACTTCCATAGTTACAGAAACCTGACAAAGGGAGGCTGGCCTCAAGATGCAGATTACAACTTCTTACAAGCAACATACCTAAGAATAAATGCCCGTGGCTGGCTTGGGGGCTGTGGTCGCCTGCAGGCAAGGAAGGCCATCTGCGTTCTTTGGAAGAGAGGCAGTCTGTTTCAGGGTTGTGATACTACCTTACCTATGGAGAAATTAGACTTTTATTGTTTATTGCCATAGTTATTTACACTATGAACAAACGAGGAACTTTCAGGCCTTGGGTGTTTCCCCAGGGTGCCCTCTACAGTTTCAGCATCTTTCAGAGGGTGCTGGGAAGGCTCAGTGGTTGTGCCCATGGATGTAGGAAAAGTAGGCATCCTCCAGACTCCCCATGGTCCAGAGAGTCCCTAGGCTTCTGGGTTCTTGTTGCTGCTCTCCAACTGTGGGAGGCAGCTGAAGTCTGGGGGTGGAGAAACAAACAATGGGGTTGCTTTTGGAGAAGGAGAAAGTGCTTTAAAATACACGGGGATGAAAAAATTCACTGATTCTTGTCTGGTCGCAAAGAGCTACGTAGTTTAGCATGGAAGGAAGTGGGAAAAAAATGGAGTTCAGTGGCACTGGCCAGGGAAGCCCTCACAGGTCCCGGGTTCACCTCCTGGGTCCCAGATGCTGTCTCCCAAATCTAAGGTCATCCAGCCGCGTCCTGGGGTGAGAGTGCAATAGGCCTCCCGATCTCCTCTCTTCTTTCTTCTTGACCACTGTTAGGGGGCAGGTTGACAGAAAGTCGTAACTGAGATACCATGTGCAAACCTGGCCGGGCCACCTGGTCCTTTGCCTCTCCACAGACAAGCAGCCTGGTGCTCCTGAGGCTGGGAGCCCCTTCCCTTCCTGAAACACTCCCCGCAACTAATTGCTTGTCTCATTCCTTTTCGAATTTTTGGATCAACTTCTTTGAGCAGGAGGGAGGGAGGGAGGAGGGAGAGAGGGAGGGAGGGAGAGAGAGAGAGAGAGAGAGAGAGAGAGAGGATATTAAGAGTTGCAAAGATTTTTTTTTTTTAAATTCTGTTTCGCCTTCTTCTCCCTCCCCCCCCCCCTCCGGCTAAGTGGTAAAACCGTCCTTACGTTCTCGGTATTGATTGGCAGGGCTGACAGTGATTGGCAGTGGTTGCCGTGGCAACGCCACAACGACACGCCGCAGACCAATAGAAAAGCGAAACAAAATGTTTCAATGCTGCACTCACTGTGGATTTAGGGGAGATATTATGAGGCTGTTGTCATTAGGGCGATTGCTGTGGAATCGCTGAATCTTGACTCGGCGGTGGTTGGCTCTCGCTCTCCTCTCATTCTCCTCTCGCTCTCCTCTCTCTCCCTCTCCCTCTCTGCCTCGGGTTCTCTCTCTGCGCGCGCGCACCGGGCCGCTCTCCTTCCTCCCTCTCTATGTGGCTGCGCGGGTGTGTGTGTATGTGGATGTGTGTGGGGTGTGGGTGTCCCTTACGTCCTTCCTCCTCCCCCTCCTTCTCCTTCTGCTCCCCCCTCCTTTCCATCTCCTCCTCCCCCCTCTCCTCTCCCTCCTCCTGGTCCTCATCGCCCCTCTCCTCCTCTTCCTCCCCTCTCTCTTCCTCTCCCTGAATTTTCTCCTCTCCTCTCAGGTCAGTCCATGGTATTCCGCTCCCCCCTAGACCTCTATTCCTCCCACTTCTTGTTGCCAAACTTCGCCGATTCTCACCACTGCTCCCTACTTCTGGCGAGTAGCGGCGGCGGGAGCGTTGCGGGCAGCGGCGGCGGCGGCGAGGGAGGAGGCGGCGGCGGCGGGAACCGTGCGGGAGGCGGCGGTGCTGGCGGAGCAGGCGGCAGCGGCGGCGGCGGCTCCAGGGCCCCCCCGGAAGAGTTGTCCATGTTCCAGCTGCCCACCCTCAACTTCTCGCCGGAGCAGGTGGCCAGCGTCTGTGAGACGCTGGAGGAGACGGGCGACATCGAGCGGCTGGGCCGCTTCCTCTGGTCGCTGCCCGTGGCCCCTGGGGCGTGCGAGGCCATCAACAAACACGAGTCGATCCTGCGCGCGCGTGCCGTTGTTGCCTTCCACACCGGCAACTTCCGCGACCTGTACCACATCCTGGAGAACCACAAGTTCACCAAGGAGTCTCACGGCAAGCTACAAGCCATGTGGCTCGAGGCGCACTACCAGGAGGCCGAGAAGCTGCGCGGCCGCCCGCTTGGCCCGGTGGACAAGTACCGCGTGCGCAAGAAGTTCCCGCTGCCGCGCACCATCTGGGATGGCGAGCAGAAGACTCATTGCTTCAAGGAGCGGACTCGGAGCCTGCTGCGGGAGTGGTACCTGCAGGATCCCTACCCCAACCCCAGCAAGAAACGCGAACTGGCGCAGGCCACCGGCCTCACTCCCACACAAGTAGGCAACTGGTTTAAGAATCGGCGACAGCGCGACCGCGCCGCGGCGGCCAAGAACAGGTCAGTGGCGGGGATCGCGACTGGGCCACAGCCTCCGGGGCTGGGGAAGGGGAGACGGGTTGAAATGCAGGCTATCCTGGCATAGTAGGGGCGGCTGACCCAGAGCTGGAGGAGCCGGGTCTCTCTGGGTAGTTGGAGAAAGTTTTTGGTTGCCCCGGAACTGGGGAGGATAGGGTTATAGGCTACTTTGCCCAAGAGGGGCTTTTATCAGGGCCAGAACTGTCTCTGAGAGCTTCTAGTGTCCTCAACCCGTGGTGCCGGTCTTGGAAGCCCTAGTCCCCTGGCAAATTTTCTCAACCCTGGCCCCAACTAGAAGGCTGGGAGGAAACCAAAACTCTATTTGCTGTCTGATTATATCCATGCATGGCAAAACAAGGGTTGGGAGCCTTAGAGATGTCCAGAAGCGATAAAGAGGGGCAAGTGGACAAGGGTTCCTGCCACAAAGGGAAGGCCTGTGACCACCATCCAGCGAGTTTCCTTACGAACCCTGAACAGGAGAGGCAGACTGGGTGCGAAGAGGCCTAGTGTGTTTTAATTAATGTGTTCACACAAGGGTGTCCAATCCTGGTGTTCCTCAAGCATTAAATATCTCTATGTTCTCTAAGGAGCGTCCATCCCTTTGGTCCACTTAGTTGGGTAGCAACTGCCAGCAGGTGCAGCTCTGTTTCAAGCAAGTTGGTTACAAAGTCACAAAGTAGTTTTGGTTCTTGTGAATCCTTAAAGCTGAGTTGGGAGAAGTATGTAGAAAAAGGAGAGGGGCTAGAGAAATTGAGTCCAAGGGGAAGGGAAAAGAAGGGGGGCTCGGGTGAGCGAAAGCTCTCATACAGAGCCTCGATCTGCTCCGCTTCAAAGGCACTAGGCCTGGGAAGGAGCAGGAGCCTCAGCTCCCGACAGCTGCTGGTGGCTGGAGTACCTGGTGAATGTGTGTTTAGGTGGTTCAAGCCTGAAGCCACTTCCCTCTCACCTCTGCCTGTGGAGGCCACTTTTCGCCAGATGAGGGGAGCACCCAGGACCAGGAAAAGGCTTCCTTGTGGGGAGACACTAGGTTCAGGCAACTGCTTTTTTGCCTGAAAAAAGAGACAGTCTATCCTTCCCTCCTGCTTTCTCTTTCTTCCTTTTTCTTGCTTCTCTCTCTTACTCTCATCTTTTAACCCCCACCTTCCCTATTTTCTCATCCCCGGATCCTGCGCTCCCCGCGTAGGGACTCAGAAAGTAAAACGGTGGGTACTCTTGGGAGAACCCCACCACCACCTCCCGCAGCAATGGATTATGTTTGGGAAGGCCGTGGCAGGAGGCTGTATGGAATTTTTAGGTCTCCTTGCAGTCGGCCCAGTTACTAGAGCCTCCGAGGTTGAGGAAGAAGAGCGAAGCTCTTTCCCCACCGTCTGCTAATCCAGGGCTCAGCGTCCCTTACTGATCGCTCAAGTCTCCGCAGGCGGCTGGCTTGGGGTTCAACCCCTGCTCTAAGGCCGTCCCCATCTGGAACACTTCCCTAAGCCAAAGGAACTTGCAGCCGGGACTGGAGTTAGGAAGACCCTGCGGTACTCAGGGAGCAAGCAGCTGGGTGCACGGAAGACACAAAGCGCAGTCGGGGGCGGTGGCTAGGGGCATGCGACGCGGGAGGCCGCGGAGGTAGGGGGGTGCGGGCCCAGCCGGGCCAGTCACCCCGCGGTGCCAGTGAGGGGAGCAGGGTGGCGGGCCATTGAGTCAGGGCGGGCTCCGCTCTCTCTTTCTCGCAGGCTCCAGCACCAGGCCATCGGACCGAGCGGCATGCGCTCGCTGACCGAGCCCGGCTGCCCCACGCACGGCTCGGCAGAGTCGCCGTCCACGGCGGCCAGCCCCACCACCAGTGTGTCCAGCCTGACGGAGCGTGCGGACACCGGCACTTCCATCCTCTCGGTAACCTCCAGCGACTCGGAATGTGATGTATGATAGCCAAGGCCGCCCTCCTCCTCCTTTCCCTCCTCCCCCTCCACCATCCCCTCCTCCTCCTAGCCCGGCTCCTTTTCCTTCTGGTCCATCCATAGAACAAACCGAAATCAGGACACGCGCGCTCGCGCGCGCGCGTACACACACACACACACACACACACACACACACACACACACACACACACGTACTCCATACACACTCCCACCCCAGCCAAAAATATATATATAAAAAAAAAGAAAAATAAATTAACCTCAAACCATCAACCCCCCCCCCCCCCACCTACCACCACGGCCACCCCAAAGGACCGCGACGCCAACAGACAGTCACAAACGCTGATCTTGCGGGCAGAAAACATAAAAGAGGTGACAATTGTATACTTTCCAGGACAAGCACGGTTTCTCCTTTTGGTTCCCACGGACCCGGCACCCCACCTGCATGACGATTTATTTGTATCTGGGAAAATATTCTCTCTAGTTTAAAGTGATTTAAGGAGTCGACCATACAAAAACCACCACCGCCGAGACAAGACGACAAAAACAAACAGACAAAAAGGAAAAAAAAATCTGACATCTCCGTTCTGAATTTGTTTTTTTTAAAGGAAAGAAAGAACGAAAGAAAGAAAAAGAAAAACTCCTCGAGAGAAATAGCAAATGTTTCTTCCTTCTGTTGCTCTTTCCTCTGTTAGCTCTTTCTCTTTCTCTCTCTCTCTGTTTTTAAGTCCAAGTACTGGTCAAACAAGATAGAATCTTTTGTTTTTTGTTCAGCAGACAATCATTTTCTTCGTAAGCACCTTTTTCTCTCCACTCTGTCACTGCCTGTGTGGGTACTGGTTATAAATGTGGAAAAAGAATAGTTATGACTGTAACAGATTTTTATTTTTATTTCAAAATTTTATATGAATTATGTATATCTTAATGATCGGTCATTTTCCCAGTTTGTAATATATGTGTAGCAATTGCTTGTATATGATACCTGCTTTTTTCCTCTCCCTCCTCTCTCCTCCTTCCTTCCCTGCTCACTCACCTCTTTCCTTTTGGAGGGGTTCCTCCTCCTACTCGGGGTTCCTGGCCGTCGACCTGTCAGTCGAGGCTTGGCGAGGTGGCCAGGGTTAGGGAGAGAGAGGGACCCTCTCGCCAGTGAAAGCTGAGTGAGGCCGTAGGATTCTTATGCAAAAGCTATTCCAAGTTTTTCCTAGCCGCTTCGGAGGCCTCATTCACTCCTGTAGGGCGCTTTTACTGTTATCTTAACTGCGTGTTTATCTATATGTAAAAACTTTCTAAAGCAAATACAGTATTCTCCATTTTCTTATCACTCCCAGAGACTGGTGTTTGTGTCCGCCCAGGCCAGCAGTTCCCGGGTGCAGGGTTCAGCGGCCCAACCTAGCTCTTGCTCTCTGGCTCTGCAGCTGCCAGAGCCTGAGGGAAGGGTTGTCAAAGCTGGATCTGAGATTTTTCTGGAAGTTGAGTCGAAAACTGAGAGCAAACACTTGTTTGGAAAGAGAGTCCAAGCAATATCCTGAGAGAAAGGCAAAGAGGGCCCAAGGGAAGGGGGCTGCGACTAGTTCTTCCCACGCCTAGGGGTCAGGGCCTGAACCTTCCCCAAGCGCTTTGCCCTGGGTTTGCAGGGTCCTGCGGCTCTTGTGGATCGCCGGGATGTTTTGGTAGCCTTCTAGTTGTTGTTTTGCTTTCTTAAAAGGAAAAATACACAAGGTCCCCTAACCCAAGCATCCATCCTGAACGAAGCTGAAATGTTCTCGTCGTTGTCTATTTCTTCTTCTTCTTCTTCTTCCGTTTTTGGAGGAAGTTAAAATAGTTAACTATGGCGGGGATGGGGAAGACAGGCGAAGGGAAGAAGGAGGTAGTTTTCTGACTTTAGGGTCTAAAATCAGGATACTTTCCCTTTTGCCTTCACCGCAAGCCTCGTCTGACTGGGTCGCTTGCCTTAAGTGTCTGAATCTACTTGAATTTTCTCACCTTGTCTTTTGGGATCACCCGGAGTCCCTTCAGCTTCTAAGTGATTTTGGTTGGGTTGTACGGTTAAATGAAAACCAGCAACAAAACAAAAACATCACCCCTCACTAGGCACGTTCCTCTGCGGGCTCCACAGTTCTCTGGCCGGCTGTGGCTACACAGTTCTCAAGGATGGACGGATGGGCAGAAGCGATTCTGCGGCTCTGGGCCAGGGCGGTCTGCGCTCGAGGAGAGGCCAAAGAGGTCATTTTGGAAAACTTGCCTTCACTTCAAAGTTCAGTTTCCAAGCTGGGAGGATTAGGGAGAAAAGAGCCTGGAATTTCGCGCTCGCTTCCAAACTAATTTTGACTTCCGATTTCCTTTTGCCTTTATTCCCCAAAGCACGAAGCACCGCGGGGGGGGAGGGGGTTTACGAGGGCTGGCTTGGGCAGAGGGGCAGACTGGCCCGAAGATGCCCTAGGTGCAGAAGAGCGCATGCGCTTACAAGGGGCGGAGGGTTCCTTAGGGGGTCCCTTCTTAGAATCAGGGTATCCTGCCGGCTCCCCAGCCGACCTGGCACACAATGTTAGAATCTCTGTGTGTGCCCACTACCCGTAGAAACAGTCCAGGGCAGCCATATTTCTGACACCGCCAGAAGATTGGAAAGAGGCGATCTAAAACCCACCAGGCTTGAACTTCGTCGGCTCCTCTCACATTTGACCCAGAACTTGGGCCTTTCAACCCAGAAGAAATGGCTGTCTCGGTGTAGACAACGTGGATGGAGGACGAATGAACCACACCTGAGGGGTGGAAGGAGCGGGCGATCGCTGCTGATGAGTGACTCCCTCCGGGAGCAGACTAGACCCAGTGACATCAGGAGTAGGGGGCTTTTTGTGTGAGGACAAAGGGGAAAACTTGAGAGTTACGCTTCTTTCTCTCACCATGGTCAGCAGATAAAGCAAGTTTGGCTCAACTCACGGCCTCTTCCTCCACTGGAGAACCAGCCCCTGGTCTCCACCAGCAAGCAGCCTTCACTTTGGAGGGCCTGTGTCCTGTTGGGTGTCACAAGCCTGTGGCCCCTGTCAATCACTCCTATATTTCTCCATAGGTCTGCCACAAATGCCAATGCTGTGTTCTTTGCATTTTCTGACTTTACCTACAGGTCTCCTGTGTGCTTGGTGTGAGTGGCACATGTGTGTGCCGTTCTGAAAGCTGGGCTCTCACTATTTTGTCAAGTTCTGCATACGAAAGGATGTGTGTGCTAGATATAAATGCACACATACTTCATTGGCATGTTCCGAGTGTGGGTTTTCATGAGTGCTGAATAGCTTAGGTATAACACTTCTGTACCGAGTGAGCAGGGAGTGTCACAGTGGTTCCAGTACACCTGCAGGATGCTGTCAGCAGGGCTTTCTGTCCAGAGAACAAGTGTCCTTTATGTCAGTTCTTTTGTAGGCATCTATGTTCCCTCATTCTGGTTAGTCCATGAACCTGAGCGCCTCAGTCTCCATCCCTAAGAATCTTACACACACACACACACACACACACACACACACACACAGGCACGAGAACTCACAACAGATGCTAGTGTGGGTTGGCTGCTTCCTCCACTCATTTTTTCCTTGATACATTAGTTATTACAGGGGATTTGACCCTTACCCTTTAACACAGAGGGCAGAGAGAAAGGGGGCTCATCTCTGGTCAGATCTCTCTTTTGCGCAGTGCCTGACCTTTCTCTTCCTAGCCCCCAGATCTATGGCTAAAGCTGTCAATGTACCATGGGACTTCTGGGGGCACAGCTGGGTGGAAGAGCTGTGCTGACACTCTCTTTGTACAAAAGCCAGCTCACCCCCCAACCTCCTGGAAGCAAAGCAAACTGTGTCTAGGCCAGGGAAGTGAGGCCTCTGTGGACCTGTTGACCACAGGGCCCCTTTCTCCGGGCCACACAGCAGCTGGCTCCCCTTGGCATCAGAGGGTGGAGAGCACTTCTCTGTATACTATGCACTTCCCCTTGCCCTTTTGGTGCATTTGGCTGGGAACTTTGCCCAGTGCTAGGCATCTCTATACCTAGGTGTTTGCTCTAGATCAGTGATTGTCAGCCTGTGAGTCACTACCCCTAGGACTGCATATCAGATATTTATATTGCAGTTCATAGCAGTAGTGATATTATGAAGTAGCAACAAAATAATTTTATAGTTGGGCATCACTGCAACACAAGGAATTGTATAAAAGGGTCACAGCATTAGGAAGGAAGGGAATGACTGCTCTAGGGTACACAGAGTGAGGAATAACATCCAGTGTTCTTTCTCCTTGCATCCCTCAAAGTAAACAATGGTTATCTAGGATTTGCATCAGAAACCCCAACAGCTGATTGCACTGTGAAGCTGTGAATATCTGTATCAAAGACCCTACCCTTAGACTGTCCCCGCCAGAAAAAAGACAGGTCAATGTACTCCTTTTGGTTTGTTCATTTCTTAGCCCCCTTCATTTCCTCACCCCATCCCAGAGCTCCTCCTATTTAGCTGCCCTTCTTGCCCTCTGAATCTTGCTAAATTAACTTCCCAGTGCCAGTGAAGTTGATTATCCCTGGTGAGATACACAACTGATTTAAAAGAAATAACCTGGAAGCTGCCCCGGTGCCAGGCAGGGATGCTGATCAATGGTGAAGCTGGATAGAGGTGTGTGAACCTGGTGGTAAGGCTGGGATTGGGGCTGGTGGGGACAGTGGGACCAGTGCCGCTCTGGGAAGGCCAGGACAGGGCCTAAGCAGGCCACAGATCTGACCTCCACAACCCACTACCAGTTTGTCATGAACACCCATGTACTTCGTTGAAATTGGAATGAAACAGATTGGCACATTGGGAACCCGATGCCTTGCAAGGGTCACTAAGCCTACAGCCTAGGATCAGGCCTGTGGAACATTGGGCATGATCTAGCTCCCCCGGAGCAGAGGGTGCCTCACGCTTTTCTCCCCCTCCTTGTCTTCCATTGCCACCCAACCTTCCTGCACTGCCTTGTGTGGCTGTCACCTGGAGTACTGGCTGCCACCTCTATGGCTTTTCAAAGTCCTCCCTGGGTACTGACCAAGAAGACCATTGAGCTGCAAGTCCTCAAGCATGGGCCACCCACTGCTGGGTCTCTTTGGGGGGGGGGGCAGCTGAGCTAAACTGAGCCTTCTTGGTCCCAGGCAGCCAGCTGGGGTGGC